ATAGCCCAAGTGTCCACCAGTAGACGAATGGATAAAAACGCTGTGGTACATATACACAATGGAGTACTATGCAGCGGTAAGAAAGGAAGATCTCTTATCCTTTGAGACAACATGGAGGGATCTGGAAAGTATTATCCTAAGTGAAAGAAGCCAAGCAGAAAAAGACAAATACCACATGATCTCACTTATATACGGAATATAATGCACATAACAGTCTGAGGAATACAGTAGACCCAGACACATGGAAGTAGGGCACAGACTGACATCCCTCAGAAGAGGGGATGGGGGGTGGGGGGGTGGGAAGAGATAAACCACAGAACTTATATGCATGTATGCATGACCAATGGACATGGACAACTAGGCCGGGGACAGGGTGGAGGGGGGGTGGGGTGGGGGGTGCCAATGGGGTAAAAAGTTAAAATATCTGTAACAAAAAATAAATAAAAATTCATAAAAAAAAAAAAAGTATCATCCTAAGTGTAACAAGCCAAACAGAGAAAGACAAATTTTATATGATCTCACTTATTTCTGGAATATAATGAACATAACAGTTGAGGAATGGGGTAGTCCCAGAGACGCGGAAGCGGGGTACAGAGTGACAATCCCCTAAGGAGTGGGGAGGTGGGGGAGGGTTGAACCACAGAACTTATATGCATGTATGCATGAGCAGTGGACATGGACAACAATCTGGGGAAGGGGCAGGGAGGGGAGGGGGAGGGGGGAATCAGTGGGGGAAAAAAGGAGAATCATCTGTAACAAAAATTAATCAATAAAAAAATAAATAAAATAAAAAAGTGGTAGTACATATACACAGTGGAATACTATGCAGCTGTAAGAAAGAAAGGTCTCTTCTCCTTTGTGATGACATGGAGGGACCTGGAAAGTATTATCCTAAGCGAAACAAGCCAAACAGAGAAAGACAAGTATCATACGATCTCACTTATTTCTGAAATATAATGAACATAATGTTCTGAAGAATGGGGTAGTCCCAGAGACGTGGAAGTGGGGTACAGACTGACAGTTTCTAGCAGAGGGTGTGGGGGGGAGGAGAGATAAACCACAGAACTTATATGCATGTATGCATGAACAATGCACATGGACAACAAAGCTGGGGACATGGCGGGGAGAAAGTGAGTGGGTGCTATCAGCGGGGGGAAAAGGAGAAACATCTGTAACAAGAATAAATAAATAAATTAATTTTAAAAAATCATGCTATTACAGAAGTGGATGTTTTCTGCCATGATTCAAACCCTGCTCTGAGAAGTTACTACTTAGAACCGTGGGGCTTCACCATTTGACTGACTTCGTGGATTTTTCCATGCCAGAGATGGTTCAGTAATCATTACGACCCTGGAGGCTGGCAGGGCCAGCAGATGGTGGGGAAGGGGAATTCCCTGTCCTTAATAACATCCTATCTTTTCCAGAAACACAGATGTGCTCCAGACAGATGCAAGTTAATCCACCCAACAAATCATTAACTCCTTATTTTCTTTATCATCTTGTGTGTCAGACGTCTCATTTTTCTCTATTTATCCATACACACTCTCTTTATTTTTGCTTCCTCTGAACCTAACACTTAATTACTTCTTTCACTGTAATAACAAAACCCACAAAACAACTGTTTTCTTTTACGCCTGAATCCTTGTTGCTTCTGCCTCACCTCTTCACTTTGTTTGCAGCTGACTCTTTGAAAGCGTGCTTGACAACTTGACATTTCTCCTTCCTTTCATCCAGTCATTTTCTATATAACTCGTGTCTTTCAATACCTCTTAGACATCCCCCCAATCCATTCCTTTGTGCACATACTTTTCACCTAGAACTCCTTGAATTTCTAGTCAGCAATAGGACTAATCTGGTATGTGAGGACCATGTCTCTCTAGAACGGGCAATTATTGTCATGCTCATCTGGACTGACCGGAATTTTCTAGAGGGATATATCTGGACTTTTTAATGACAATGTTTTGAGTCCTGCCTTTTGTGCTGCAATACATTTTTTTAAATATCTTTTTATTGATTTTTTAGAGACAGAGGAAAGGAGAAAGAGATAGAAGCATCTATGTGAGAGAGAAACATTGATCAGCTGTCTCCTGCACGCCCCCTACTGGGGATGGAGCCTGTAACCCAGCCATGCGCCCTGACAGGGAATGGAACTGGAACCTCTCAGTCCATGGGATGACACTCAGTCCCCTGAGCAACACTGGTACGGCTGCAATACTTTTATGACCACAAAAGCTCTCTGGAAAATTGGGAGAATTTGAACTACTTGGATTCTATCATGACCATTCATTTCCTGCATTTTGTATTTGTCATATTATGCATTTTCCTGGAGCACAAATTATTTTTCACATTCCCTGTAACAATACATCTTAACTCTTAAAGAGAGCCCAAAATGAAACCAGGAAACTGAAAATAATCTATACTAATTATAAACTACATCTAAAAAAGAAAGCACCTAAGAGAAAATGATGAACTTATTCCTTTCTTTTATGGCAAAAACATAAATTATGATTTACTTTGTTTGTCTTTCAAGAAAAACGGGACAAATAAGAGGAAAGTGGCCATGATGCAATCCCTTATGGCCAGAACACTTGGTTTCATTTCTCACCACGGTTTTTAATTTCTACTCTCAACCAGACTTCCCCACGTTAATTGTCTTACTCTCGTTCTATTTTTTTATTCTTTTATTGTATGCCTTTTTGTGACCACTCACCTTAAATCTTTGGGGGATGTAACACAAAGCAAACCAAATGCATAATAACTAAATAAGACACACTGACAGTTTCATTCGTTTGGATGATAAAGGGGTGGCGACTTCCTGTGTATCCTCTAGGCAAGCATCTGTATGAGGAGAAATCCTGGAGTGGATGTGGTGCTCATGTCATAGGAATAGTAAGGACACAGAATAAAAATAGTCATGAGGTTGAGGTATTTATGGCCATATTTTTAACAGAGCAGCTCTGATGGTTAAGCTAAGCATAATGTGAGAAAAATCAATAAATTTTCTTGCAATAATTTTTTATTTATTTTTCTGCTGGGCTGTAAGAGAGTGTCTATTTTTAGTTTTTTTTAAAGTCACACTGAGGGATCTTCAACCCCAGCCCCCCAAAGGGGACAATATTGCAGAAACACCTTAGCAGGATTGCTGCCCTTCCATGAACTGCAGTGGCCTCTCCTTTTGGTAAGAAAATTACTAATCTAATTTCAGAGGCCCATTGAAAGTAACTTTTACTGGGCTTCATTAGGTAGACCTTGGGTTCAAATATGAGACCCATTTCATTCTGTTTCATGCTTATCTCTGGAAAGGCACGGGGATGGCTGCAAAAATTAGTATCCAGGTGAAGTCCTGCATGAAAATTGTGTCCAGTTGCTTGGCACAGTAATTAATTTGAAATCATTATTTATCCTGAGCTGCCTGAGTGTACATTCAATTAATCAGGAACTTAGATAAAGGAGTGCTATTAGCATTATTAAATATTCTTCACAAATTCCACTGGCTGAACCTGAGAGTTTCATTTTCATAGGGTTGCCGACAACTGAAATGTTTCCACAGGAAACAGTCCCATGGTCTGAATTAGTCTTATGGGGAACAAGAAAGGGATTTTGCAATTTTGAATAGAAAAGAGAAGATCAAGGTTCTTATCAGCATTAGAAGGTGAACAAAAAGAGAAAGAGGTATTCCAGGGATGTGTTGCCTGTGATGGCAAATGAGAAACAAATTACAGAATTACAAAAAAGCAGACTTCAAATCATTGAAAGAGAACAAACTCTATGCAGCATGATAGACTGATAGAGAAATCACCATCACTGGTGGATGTCCCCAAATCAGGGATATCAGAGAATAATTTCCACCTCCATACCATAATTGTAGATGTCAATGAACCTGGGCTGAGGGCAGCCCTGCTCATGAAGCCCATAACAGTTTCCCCTTGATTGTCCTGGACATTAGAATTATTTGAAAACCCAAAAAGTCAAATATCATTTCTAACAAAGGGACGTCTTCATTTACTCAGAAATAGAATGAGCTATGTCATTCTTTGTTTGGGCAGAACTCCTTATAGCTGGGTTTTAATTGATCCCATAATGTAAAATAAAACTAATTTTCAGTCTAAAACAAGTTGCTGTCATTAAACAAATACCAGAAGCCACTGTTTGACAGTACATTAAGCCTCTTCAATGAACAAATTGATAACAGAAAGAAAGGCAAGATGACTCTAGAGCTAGGGGAACGTGCCACATTTTCTGTGTTTTTTGGCTGCATCAGAAAGACCTCCAACCATCTTACAACTAACTGTATTGCTACAACATATTCTAGACATTGTGATGTGTTGGGTACTATTCTGTACATTTAATTTAGAGACAACTATCCTTTTCTTTAGGGATTTAATACACTGGAGGGAGGGTCTAATGTACAAACACAGGTTTTCGCAGAAACTTGTAAATGCTGAAATTGTATGTACAGAATAGGCAGCACTCTTCCTCACTGTATCTCAGTTGATCCTTCTGAAAACTGAGTGTTAACTCTATAAAAATCCTTGCCAGGCCTCAAGTACGACTAGTACTTACTCATCAGCTATCTGGAGCTACCACTTTGCCTCTCCCAGGAAGGTGGGCTTCCCAAGACATCAATAGAATCCCACTGCAGCCCCCAGACACCTACTAGCAAGCAACTCTCCAATGCCCTGTGTGTTCACAACAGTAAACATCTCACCCCAACAGTTGACTTATGCCTGCTTTTTAAACAACTGCAACAGATGGTTGACACTTAAGCAGGATATATAATTAGCATTGCAATCTAACACTTCATTCTTATTTGTTCTTTCTCAAAGGGGAGAAGTGCCTTATGCCACTGGGTCTAATCTGTTAGTTTAATCAGAAATGCTGCTTTGAAAGTTCTAGGAAGAGATGAGCTGTGGGAGGATTCTTAATCTCAGCCTTTTGAGGACATTGCAGAAAAGCCAGGAGGGAGTGGAAGGAGAAATGTCAGTGCTTTTTAAAAACGCATGCTGGCTTCAGCAGCACATGCACTACAACTGAAACGAGACAGAGAAGACTGGCATGCCCCCACACAAGGATGACATGCAAATACATAGAGTGCTCCATATTTCTTGTTCATTTGCACTAGCCAAGATCTGCAAACAGCCCAGGTGCCCTCAGTATATGAGTGGATAAAAAAGCTGTGGTACATATACACAATGGAACACTACATGGCCATAATAAAGAAGGAAATCTTACCTTTTGCGAAAACATGAATGGACCTGGAAACTATTATGCTAAGTAAAATAAGCCAGTCAGAGAAAGACAAGTGCCATATGATCTCATATATATGTGGCATTTAATGAACAAAATAAACTGAGAGACAAAATAGAAACAGAGGCATGGATACATGGAATAGACTGACAGCTGTCAGAGGGAAGGAGGTCTGGAGGCTAGATGAAAGAAGGTGAAGGGATTAAGGAAAAAAGAAAACATATATATACCTAGCATAGAGCTTGACATGTAGCAGACACTCAGAAAATATCAGTTTTTCAATATAGATGAATTGAGGTAAAAATAAACAGATGTAGTTCCTTCTTGTTTGGCACTGTTTATGCGGTTCCCCTACCCACTCAACCAGCAATCTTTCCCAACCCATGGTCCAGGAATGGGCCTCCAGCAGTGTTTCCTGCTGCAAACTTCGCTTCTTCATGCTCTTAGACCAAGTCAGCTTCTATGTTGGCATAAGTTCCCAATAGCCTAGAAATTATTTTCCCATCCTTTAATCAACCATTCACATTCCCCTGTGACTCTATTCCAAATCTCACTCTCTTCTCTGAATCAAGAACTCAAATCCAATATGCCACTCCCTCCAATGTTTACATTTATAGAAGAGAGCTACTGTTACTTTACTTGCTATCTGTATGACATCATTATGCAGATTTTGTTTTCTCTAAGACAAATATATGGAGTGAGCTATAATATCTATATTTATTCAAAATTTTTGACTCAGAATAATAGCTCCATTGCTGGTCTGTTATAGTCATCTTTATTGAGTACAGCCTCTGTATCAGACTCAGTATGTACTGAAGTACAATGATGAATAAAACAAAATATTTGCCTTTGTTCATTAAAATACATTCATATTGGAAAACAATAAAATATATAAGACAGAAAGGCAAAATATTGTATAACCTGAGACAACATCCTAGGACAAACACCTTCAATATGTTTGCATATTTTCTAATTAATTAAATACCCTTTAACACATATACTTACAATTTATAAGTCGTTCTATATACTGTTTATGGTTTATTCTAAAGTGATTTTAAATATGCATGTATCTGAGTGAACAAAGCCTACATATGGATATGACCTGTGTGTCTTCTGACTAGATCAAAGACACCACAGTGCCCTGGAGGCTTCCTCCTGCTCATCCGACTCAGCACCTCTCTAGGGGCCACCACTCCTATGATGGCTGTCACCATACACTGATTTTGCCTGTTTTTGCACTTTATAAAATTTAAATTATACAGGATGTGCTCTTTCTTGACTGGCTTTTTTTCACACAACTTAAATATTTTATTCTGTATAAAAATTCAAACTTACAGAAACAGGCTTAATCACCTTTCTTTGACTCCAGTATCCTCATTGTACAGCTGTGAAAACTGAGGCCCAAATCAACATCTGACTTTACATAGACTGTGAAAGGCAAAGTCAGACTCTAAAAACAAACAAACAAACAAACAAAAACAAAGACAATGTTCTTTTTGGAAAAAGAAGCTAAGAACCTTGATTCCATGTATCCACATAATGTAAAACTTGCTTGTCTTCTCTGAGTCCACTCTGATTTTTTCTGCTGTGTTCCAGAGTCTCTCAACCATTTTAAAGTTTATGTCTGAAATAAAGTAGCATGCAAAAGTTTTCTATACTGGGGAAAAATTATTCTTTGAATATTATGTTATATTTTCCATTATAGGAACATCAGAGAGAAACATCTGGCCAACAAATTGCCAGGGTGAAGAAATGGAGAAATATGGGAAATGCATGCTATTCCATGGACAAGTAACAAATGATTCTTAAAGCATTGATGCCAATGCATCACATTAGAATAGTGGGGGAAAAAAAGAGCACTTTGTCCTTAGATTAAAAAAAATACAAATACAAATGTCATCAAAGGTTCATGGATGTTTTACATTTTATTCCAAGTAGAAAAAAAAAGTCTTCCATTTTTGTTGGACACTTACTTTAGGCAAGAAAGATTATGTTTATTTACAACTACATCTTTAATCATCCTGATCTAGATTGCTTAGATTTATATAAATAAAATAACCAAGACCAAGACCAAGACCAAGGAAAGAGAAATAGAGTTCCAAGGTCACCCAGTTAGTCATCAGCACTGCCAGAACGAGACTTGTTTTTTTCTGACACAATCATTCTCCCATCCCTTTCCTCACAGAATAACCTGGGGTGATATATTGAACAGACATAAATACTGAATGACAGAGAATCAATGGTTAAAGAAACACAAAAGTAAAATAAAGTACTGTTCAAAAACATACAGCTACTCTAACTACACAGAAAACATCGTGTGCAATGCTGATAGCAGATCTTGCTGGTTGGAGACAGTAAAGCCACCTGCTGCACACCACGGCTGGGGAAAGTTTCTTGTGGGTAGAGGACAGATGATTCATCTCCTGGCATGCCCTGCTTTGCATTTTTTTGACTCAATACTATAATTGTTTTCCACTTAGCTTTGAGCACCTGGACATTCAATATGGAGGAACTTAGGTAAAACAAAATGGACATCAGCTCCTACTTTTATAGCTTTGATTTTTGGTCCTTGGGGCAAGCATCATATGATTACGCAGCAGGTATGAGTAAATGTTGAATGAATGTCAGGTAAGCTTTTAAGTGGAAAATCACTTCTATTTGTGCACATGGGGCCTGTCAGGAAGGTATTTTTGACTCCCAAACCCGGAATCAATAAAATCCCTTGTTATCGTGTGTGTGTGTGTGTGTGTGTGTGTGTGTGTGAACTGATCATATTTCATTCAAAATACAATTTGAGGGGCCCTCCTGTAGACCAATTATTGTTCCAGCCTCTAGGAATAAAATAGGTGAAGACCACTTCTCTACTGATGCAGACAAGTCAGGTAAGTTTAAGAAACAGAGACTGAAGGAACTGAAGAACACTAAGAAGGCCTTGGAGCTATGCTTAGAGCTGAGACCTAAAGGATTAATGTAAACTGTACAGGTAGAGAAGGGGGGTGCAGAGGTAGGCAGTGGAAACTTTGAGGGGGTTTTTCAGATAGACAGAGCTGCAAGTGTGAAGGGCACATGGCCCCTGAAAAGGTCTGGGAGAAGACAATACTTCTATGCACGAGAAATATCTCTATTTGGAATGATAGCAAGGACATAAAATCTGAGAGTAAAAAGAAGGTAAACTCTGACAGGTAGGAGAGAAAAGTGATGAATTCTGAGAGGAAGCAAATACCAAATCATACTTGGCTTTGTAAGCTTAGCTTAACTGCTTGTACTTTATCAAATGTTTTGAAGGTTGTTGAATGGTTTTAAGTAGCAGGGGGTTATATTCAGATTGCTTTTAAGAATGATTACTCTGCTGTGTAAAAAAAAAAAAAAAAAAAAAAAAGAAGGCTGGATAAGCAATATTGAAAAGAGGAGATGTCTACCCTATTCCTTAGACCCGAAACACAGAAGTAGGGTACAGATTGAGAACCCTCAGAAGAGGGGGTGGTGGGGGGAGGGAAGAGATAAATCACAAAACTTATATGCATGTATGCATAACCAATGGACATGGACAACAAAGCCAGGGAAGGGGCTGGGGGGATGGGGAGGAGGGTGCCAATGGGGTAAAAAAGGAGAAACATCTGTAACAAAAATAAAATTTAAAAAAAAAGAAAAGAAAAAGAAAAGAGATGTGTTTCTTTGCCTAAGATGTTAACACAATTAGAAACTGAAAGAGCTTGTTGGAAATGGGTCTTGTACCATTTGGTATACTGGGATTGGCAGGATTTGAGATGGTGCCAAATACTGAGCCTGGCACAAAGTATACATGCCAATTATCTCACTTTCTCTCCACTCATTTTAGAAATGGTATACAAATGAAATCATACAGCATGTAGCCTTTTAAAATAGCCATCTTTCATTTGAAGCATGATGCCCTTAAAATCCATTCAGCTTGATGCCCTTAAAATCCATTTAGCTGTAGTATACCCTTATATAGATGTACCGTGGCATGTTTAGTCAAACTTCTAAAAACTTTTATTCAATTTTACCATTTTTTCCATTATTAACATCATCTAATGCTTATACTTCTCACAGAAAATATAGTTAAACCCCCCCTTATCTTTTGTGTAAGTGCTTCTGATTAAGTTCTTCTCTACAAGCCTTTTTCCTTAATCCAAAGTGTTTAACTCTGCCAAAGCAGAATGACTGCATGCCTAACTGTGCCCTCCAGTGTTAGCAGCTTGGCATCAGCAACAGCCCCTTTCCCAGTAGTAAGGACACAATGTTTCTGGAATTTGGCAACAGCTGGAATGGTACAGGTTCATAGTAAGTAGGTTCCTAATTCACTCTACTCCGTTTGCTCACATTAATCTTTTACTTCATAATTTTTTGTGTGTTTTTTTATTTTTTATTTTGGCAACACACTTTTAGATGCTATGATTTCTTTTTCTAAGTCATGAATAACACAGTGAGTCTGAGAGTTTGCTCTTCAGGGGAGAATACTTTTAAAGGAAAATCATATAGCTATTGCAAGAACTGAATTTAACAAATCGATACACACTTACAGCTTCATTGATGACTTGTGGTGGAGACGAAGTTGGTAGTGGCATGATAGGGAAAGACATCGATAGCGTGTTCTTACTCTAAGTGGTGGGGTTGGCATTTTGTCAGTACAATAATGATTCAAGCTCACAATAGGAATCCCCACGATGCTAAATAAAGGAGCACTTTTTTTTCCACTCATCCCGAGATTAGGGCAAGGAATAATAATAATAAAAAAAAAAGTAATGAGGTCTGACTCAGTGAGAGCAAAGTGCTTTCACTATTGGGAGTACAAAGAAAGAGCCATCCCAGGACTTCTGTGTACATTCTGGAAGGAACGC